AATAAAAAAAACCTTTAGTAGCTTCTTTAATTATCTTCCAATAACATTGTAGAAATTCACTTTCTAATATCTAAATGAAAAACAAAATATCATCAAATGATGACAAAATATAAATAATAATTTCCAAAATTTATTTATCGAATCAACCAAATATGATAATTCAGTCGTGGGATCTTTTTCCTTCGAAAGTACATTTTGAAAACGAATATCTAATAAATGTTTAAAAAAATATATTTAAGAGCATAAATACTAGTTTTCTATAATTTTATAAAAAAAAAAAAAGATCTTAAGAAAAATAAAAAACAAGAACAATAATTGAAATAATAAAAAAAAAAAACCTTATTACAACTTTCACATATTTCATTCATTAATATCTTCATTCTTTTCCATAATGTCGACGAAGCTCCAGTAGAAGGTTCAGTTCCCAGCCTTCTAATCCCTTTCATCGGAATACTTCCTGAATCTATAAAATTTATATTAAATTTTAAATTATTAAAATTACTAAAATTTTTAATAAACTAAAAATCCGGAATTTAATTTGAATTCAATCTAAATTCGATATGAATTCATTTGTATTCGTACCTTTCACCTCCTTTTGAAGCAAATTCACATCAACTACATCTTTGATCTGCTCCAGTAATTTCTCATATATATCATCAACATATTTTAAGATACTTTCACCTATCTCATGAAGTTCTTTAAATATTTGAATACAAAGAATTATATCCGCTTCATTCGAATTAAACTAAATCTGTTAATTTAAATATGCAAAATTTACCAATAAAAAATAACCTGACAATAACACTGAAATTAAAAATAATTTATGCACCTTTGAAATGCGTATCTTTGTATATTTTACATCTTGCTCTTTGCAATATACCAAACGATCCAAGGTTTCAGATAAATATTCCTTTTAGTAAATATTCTGGGATTTCCCATTTCCACCTGGATATGTTCCAGTAATCCCGATAAATGTAATTAAACAGTGTATTGCTTTAAAATCTCAAATGACACTGTAAACACATGAGACTCTGAAATGGGGATTACGTATTATAGAAATCATGATTTATTGCTAAAAGTAGTACATCGTAAAAGCGAAATAGAATTGTCCCTTTTTATTTTCAAATATAATATAAAATTTTTTTTTAATAAATAAAGAGTTACATTAATAAAAGGATTGTTTTATTAATACAATAAAAGCATGATTAATACATGACGCATGACTACAGACTATTATACATGCTTATTTTTGAACGATACCCTTCTATCATAACCTTTGTCCAGCATTAATTCTTCAATCCGTTTCATACGTTGTTTGTT